ATTGCTTTGAAAATTATTTTTTTAATTGGGTTTTGAGTCTGTGTTTTCTCCACTAAGCAATGAGTTTCTTAAAAAGGGGAAGAATTTGAGAAATCCTGAATGTTGCTTTTCTAATTAATGTATTTTTACATATCTTACACCTTGAATTTTGGAGATTCATATGATTATCCTATTTTTACTTTTTCCCACACTTACTTGCTTTTTATTTACTACTACTTTATCTTATCCATGTGTAGAAAAAAGCAACTTTGGGGGGAGAAGAATGTACTTTCTTATGAACCCGAAAGATAATTAACATAGCTCGGAAAAATACTAAAATTTCATTTGGTAATATCTGTTAGGAATACTAATAACTCAACTGCTTATCATAATTTATAAAAAGAAGATAAATATCATTCAAGAAAAATTAACTTTAATAAGTTAATAATAGGATTCAGTATTGAAAAACTTCAACTTCACTTAAAAGAACCAGTAGACTCTTAAAAAAATTAATTTAAGTGTTAAGTAGCAAACCAAAAATATATGTAATCTTTTTCAGATCATTTTAACTAAATTAATGTGTCCATAATTTATAACAAAAAAAAAAAAATTAGAGGTAGAGCATTAAAATATCTTGTTTTGAGTTGATAGTTTTTAAGAAACACTAGTTTTTAAGAAACACTACCCATCATCGCACTAAAATGCTAGAAAAGAAAAGAAAAAGTTATAAACCAGATACAGTAATTCTCAGGAGAAAAATAAAAAGAAAATAAAGAAGAAAATAAATGAAAAAGCAAAAAGTGAAAATTTATTGAGGAGAAGCTTGAGGTTGACACAATAAAAAGTCAAGAAAAGAGAAAAAAAGAATTGGAAATTTGTGCAGTGGGACTTAAGTGATAAATCTCTGTCAAGATTCTTTAATGAAAATAGCTTTAAAAGCTATATTTAAGGGAAAGAGTTAAGGAAATGTTTAGTAAGATAAAATCTATTGAAACTATATTGAAGGCATTCATGATTAGTGAAAAAGGACTTACATTAACACCAATTTAAGGTTCTATGAAGTTTTCTTAAAGATAGATTGAAGGGAATTAAGGAAGGGTCATGCTATTAATCATTAAAGCTAATTGATCATATAATGACATTTAATATTTATTAGCTTCTGGTAAATATGTTGAATAGTTAGAATCCTACATGAGTGTTAATTTAATTCTTAAAAGTCAAACTGAAATGTGATTACTTGAGAGCAAGTAATAAGATAAATTTGGAGGTTTTGACATGCATCAATTTTACACGATTTTACCTGCCTCTGCATTTTATATTTTATTCTTTCCTATTTACCACAAATTTACACTTGAGAAAAGTTTTATGCTTATGTTGTGCAGCTTACAAAAGTTGAATATGAACAATTTGAAATGAGAAAATCAAGCGAAAAGTGTCTCGAAGTGGTGTGGTCATGCTTGAAAGTGGCGTGACCACGCAATGTATCGATGCGGCGGCGTGACCACGCCACTTTTGGCTGACCAACGATGTGACCACGCCATCGTTGAGCGTCCTGCCATCCAGTAGCATGACCACGCCAATGAGCAAAAAAACACTTTAAGAAGGAATTTTGATGGCCCAAGCTATAATCCTTGATGTAAAAGAGATTTTAGGGCTTCATGGAGGGAGTTTTGCATTCAAGGCTCATTTAAGGTGGCTAGAGGCAAATTTTGGAGAGAAATTTGAGAGTTTTCCTCAAGTTATTCTTCCTTCATTGGTAGAAATCCTTGTAGGGTGAGAGATCTTGTATTTTGTAGTTTTGAGAGACTTGTATGAGAGAAAGCAGTGCTACAACAATGGAGAAAATAATTTCTTATAAGTTTTGCATCCTTTTATTTCTTGTAATGAATTCTTATGTCGTTTTTCGTGCTATGATTTTCTCGATGATGCATGCCTAAATTTGTTCTTCGTGTCTTTATGATGTAGGGGCAATGGATTTAATTATGATTTTTTCGTAATATTTTTCCATAGCATTCTCTTGTTTCATGGCCAAAGTTTTTTGTTATCTTATGAACCTAATTTACTCTTAGTATGGCTAAAGAGAATTTTAAAATGTTCTATGAAGCTACGACCTCTAACCGTTGTGTAGTAGAAACGAATGGTTAACCTTATATTCTGAGAGGGTAAACATATTCTACTAGACTTTTGTAATCATCTTAGAGGATCAAAAAAGTTATGAGGAATGCCAACTTCATATATTCTATGCTTCTTTTGATCTAGACATGCATAAGGAGTATTATCGCCCTGATTGATAACTATCACGTAGGAAAACATTTAAGAAAATCACGATCATGACAATCCCTGAATCACAGAGGCACGAGACTCATAAAACTTGAAGGAGCTCACAAAAGCCTTTCCACAGTTTTTGCTTTCTGTTGTATGTTAATTTTTCTATTTGCTAAAATCTTAGGAATTAAAAACCCTTTTGCGGACTCACCGAGCTAGGTAACTAAATTAGTAAACTAGAGTTTTTTTGTGGAAACAAATTATAACACTTTTGTTTTGGATTGATACTTGACACGTGCACTTGTGTTGTACGATCACTTACTTTAAGATAAGTTTTGGTGTGTCATAACTAACCTCATTTAGTGAGATAAAGGATTGTTGTTATTATTGTTATTGTTATTGTTATATTAAAATTAAAGTGGGTCACCAAAAGATTATAATAAATTAATTTTTTATGTTGAATTATATCTCTTCAAGATGAATCTAGTGCTGTAAAAAACTAGTGAATTGGTCCTATAAAGGTTGTAACACCTTTAGCTAGTGTAGGTCCACTCAAAATGAATAGTATAATCAGCTAGAGTTCAATCCAATAAGAAGTTTTTGAGATTTTGTTATTCAAATCACCATCTATATGTAATCTTAATTAATTAGTGTCAAGCTAAATAAATTAAGAAAAAAATCCTATGCATAAAAGTTCAACTACATTGCTTCTAATTAAAGCATGTCAGAAGAGGTGAAGTAATTTAATTAAAAATGAAAGTTAATTGATCTATCAAGTATATATTTTTATCATAATCATAAAATATATTTTTATATAAAGCAGTAATTAGCTAATTAATTAGAAAAATAGTTATTGAGTTATTGAGAGTATAAAAAAGCAGTAGGGTTATGTGAAAGAAAGATTAAAATGAATCGAAGCTAATCAAGTTTAATTTACTAATGTAAGTGCACCAAAAGATTAGATTGGATTGAGAAAAGGACAATTTGCTGCATCAAATAGGTAGGTGAGTATGTTTTTATTGTATAGTAGTAATTGTAACTATTTTACTACCTTTAGTATTTCTTTTAAAAAGGCATATGTTCAAAATTTTCAAATGTTAATTACATGAAAAGAAATAGTAGATGACATATATGCATGTTTTTGGAGTCACCCTCAGATGGTACTGACAGAGAATCTGATATACCCATGCACAAAAAAAAAAATAGAATAATTAACTATATTTTGGCGATTTGGTGAGTTGGAAAAGATTAAACATATACACTTAGTATGCATTTAGATGGTGACTACCTATGACAAAAAATATAACATAAATAAATGAAAGTAAACGAAAAATCATTTTTTTATAATTTCTTTTTATTGCTTATTTCATTATTACAAAATATTCTAAAAATATAAATTATTTTAATTTAGAAATATTTGTCCACAAAGTAATTTAGCTCACACCTTCAGTTGCTAGCATTTTACAGAAAAACCTGATATATGATAGATGAATTCTAGGTATACAAATGTCAATGAGCTTAGACTGATAGGCATTACACTTTTTTTTTTTGTTCTCTCAGTTGCAAAAGTTTAAGTATGAATTAAGCTTTTACAAACTAGAATAAAAATTTTGTGCTTTAAATTTTTTATTTATGAAATGAAACTATTATAAAACTTTTTCTTCGTTTGACCATCACTTTCCGCCTTAGCAATCTATGCTCCAGGTGCAGGTAGTAACAACAGTAATACAAGTTATAGAATATATAGAACATTTGATTAGTGAAATACCCGTAAAAAGTTATCAATACAATTTCTAATTTCTTTGAAATCCAATACTTACATCAAATTTCAAGTCCATCCAAGAAAAGGTCATGCTCCTACCATAAATTAGCATTAATGATCATAATCTTATGCATGCCATCCTAATCATAGTTTAAAATAAATGATCTTAAATCATATTTTTGCAGATAATAATTAAAAAGAATGATTGCTAGAGAAAGATTTCTCTATTTAAAAAAAAATTAAATCATTTTAAACATTGAATAATATTATTCATTTGATGGTTATTTCCCATACAATTCAGACAGTGCAATACCTAATATTTCTATTTTTATAATTCACATAAATGACATATCATACAATTTTTTGACTAATTTTATCTTATAAATAAATATATTATATTTTTCAAAATTAAATAACACTCTACAAATAATGGTGCAGTTAATGCATGTAGTTTTATGACAGCATTCATAAAGTTATGCAATCAAATACTCAGAATATTGTCTTTAAAGCTAAAAACTGTTCAAATTCATCAGATCAGCTTAGCCCTGCCAAACCCATCTTAGATCCAATCTGTTCCATAGAATAGGAGTCAGTCCTCTCCTCCCTATCCTGCACCTCCCCCAATCCTCCGGTACACCATACCGCCGGTTGATGAGTGCCATAGCATCATACCATGCCATACCATGCCATACCATGCCATGCCATTCATGGATGCATGTACCACATGACCCCATCAGATTATAATTATTCAAAATCAAAATAAATTTCAATTTCCTTTTTTTATCATAGTTTTATGTCTGTTAAACTGGAAAGGACGGGGTGTGCATCTCTGTCCCCGTGCAACGGCGCGCGACATCTTTAAAGCGCCCAAAACCAGACAGATCAAAAGAAAGATGAGGGCTTTAAAAATTTTAATTTTTAATAATAATAATTTCTGTTGAATTTAACCAAAGCTGTTTTAAATAAGCACAGCTACTATATAAATGAGCAAGGAAACCAGATTTGGATCTTCTTTAATTTTTCTCACTCTCCAGTCCAACGCCTGGCCATAATCCTCCTGTTTCGGGTATAAAGGTTTCAACTTTGCGTGGAATGCGTGAGCGGGGTTGATGGAGGAGTAGAGTTTCTCATATTGTTCTCTGCTGTACGGAAGTCTGTGGATTGGAGGAGGCTTGTAATGCAGGAGGGAGGAGTGGAGAGGATTCTGGTTTGGAGGCCGAGGAGTCGGAGGAAAGAGGAGAGGTGTTATTGCGTCTGCTAGGGTGTTGCATCTTTGTTCTGTTTGTTTGGTTTTGATTAGGGTTTTTTGAGATGGCGATGGTGATCAGTGGTAAGGAGGCGGGAAAACAGCTAATGGATGCCGGGAAGTATGTGAGGTACACACCAGAGCAGGTGGAGGCTCTGGAGAGAGTGTACAGTGAGTGTCCGAAGCCTAGCTCCATGAGGAGGCAGCAGCTCATAAGGGAGTGTCCGATACTCGCTAACATCGAGCCGAAACAGATCAAGGTCTGGTTTCAGAACCGGAGGTAGGAGACATAATCTTAAAGGAGATCAGAGCATATTATTTTTCTTTTCATTTTTTTATCTGTATACCTTCTTGGATCCTGATTCTTGTTTGTTTATCAGTTGCATTGGATTTAGTCTTTTGTTTTTTTCCTCTAAATCACGTTTTGTAGAAGAAAAAGTCTTATGATTTTGTTTTTATTTTTTGGAGGTTTCCAAATCGCCCACAGTTTTCCCCATTGGTCTTTGCTTCTGTTGCATTTATTGGTTTAGTTATTTCTGGTACGGCTTTTTTCGTTTGATTCTTGCGCTAGAGTGGTTGCTGATGGTTTGGGTTTTGGAGCTGCTGCTTTTGATTCGTGTTCCTTTTGGAGATTGGTTTTTTCGGATCGTTGTACATTTTTATTTGGCGCTCGATCGGGATCAACTTGCTTATTGTGGGTGTCTTTTATGTTTCTCTTTCTAATATACAGCTTTTTCGTTTTCTGTTTCTGGTTAGTTTAGCTTGTTTTTTGTTTTTCTCTGCCTTTCTGTCATGAGATTGATTTGTTATGAAAGTTGTGTGCTTTATCTTCTTGGCTGAAGTGTTGTTTGATCGGGATTTTAATATTATTCCAGCTTCTAATCTGTTAAAATTTTGATTTCTGCAACATAAATTGCCGTGTGTCATATTTGAAGTCTGAGATGCGTTGATGGAGATTGGTGCTGCAGCTTGTTTTAAAGCTGTTTTTTTTTGTTATTATTAGGGTTTTGGATGAGTGGTGCTGCAGCTTGTTTTAAAGCTGTTTTTTTTTTTTTTTGTTATTATTAGGGTTTTGGATGAGTTATGTTTCATCATTCTAGATCTCTGATTTTAACCTAGTTTACTACCTGAAGCTTATAAACCTCTTATGGCTTGCTTGCCTCGTAGGAATGAGAACTGTTACATTGTGAGAAAGAGGAGATGCTAATTAAATATTTATTTTTTTTCACACCGTGGTATTACAGTTTTGATTGTACTGATCTGCTTCAATCTGATATGTTTGCTTGTGTGACTGATGTTGGATTACCACGTTTCAGATGTCGGGAAAAGCAGAGGAAGGAATCCTCACGTCTTCAGACTGTTAACAGAAAACTGACTGCCATGAACAAGTTGCTGATGGAGGAAAATGACCGGTTACAGAAGCAGGTTTCTCAGCTTGTTTATGAGAATGGTTATATGCGACAGCAGATTCATACTGTAAGTTGGCTGTCCAGTTGAAGCTTCACAATGCCTCTTTTTGTCTGCTGATTGTTGAATATGTTTTATTATTTGTAATACAACATATTTGGCATTAGTTGGCTTGTTCAACTTTCTATTGATTTATCTTTGCAAATCCTGATTTGATGTACATATTTACAGACATCTGTGGCTACCACAGACACAAGCTGTGAGTCTGTAGTAACAAGTGGTCAGCATCATCAGCAGCAGCAAAACCCAACGCCTCAGCATCCGCCAAGGGATGCTAACAACCCAGCTGGGTAATGTTTTTAGCTATTGCTTTTGTTTGATTCGAATTTATAGCTCATTTTTATATTAACTTAACTGTTGCAGTCTACTCGCAATTGCTGAGGAGACCTTAGCAGAGTTCTTGTCTAAAGCTACAGGAACTGCTGTTGAGTGGGTTCAGATGGTTGGTATGAAGGTATGGTCATGTGGCTTATTCACATTTTTTTCTTATTATCTTCTTGCAAATAATTATTTAACTCTTCTCATGTGAACAGCCTGGTCCGGATTCTATTGGAATCATTGCTGTATCCCACAATTGTAGTGGTGTAGCAGCTCGAGCTTGTGGTCTTGTGAGTTTAGAGCCTACTAAGGTATGCTCTCATATTCATATAGTTATTTGATCTACTGCCATCTTCTTATGTTCGCAAACCACATGGTACTATGTTTTGTTAGGTTGCAGAGATACTCAAAGATCGTCTGAATTGGTATCGCGATTGTCGATCCCACGATGTGCTAACGGTTATCCCTGCGGGAAATGGTGGAAATATTGAACTTATATATATGCAGGTACTCTAACCATTAAATGATTTAGTTTCTCCAACTATTACTATTCAATCATTTTTATTCAATTCTAACTTCATTTATTTTGTGTATATGTGCAGACATATTCGCCTACTACTCTGGCATCAGCGCGTGATTTTTGGAGTCTTAGATATACCGCAGGTTTAGAAGATGGCAGTTTGGTGGTAAGTTCTTCATCAGTTGAATCTAAAATCAGTTTATTTGTGCAGAGCCATTGTTGTAGACTATTTAAACAATCTTCACAAATTTCTACCACACTCAATGATTTTTTTGTTTAAAAAAAGTTTTTAAAAAAATTTAAACTGTTAATGCAGTACAATCACCTCTTATTTCGGCTCCATGCAAAGACATGCATATAGAATTATCATTCATGTTGTTACTGTACAATGTTTAAATTTAAAAGTAAGATTTCCTTTGTAGATTTGTGAGAGGTCTTTGACTCCTTCAACTGGTGGCCCAACCGGACCTCCTGCAACTAATTTCGTCCGAGCTGAGATTCTTCCTAGTGGTTATCTAATCCGACCCTGTGAGGGTGGTGGTTCAATGATATACATTGTTGATCATGTTGATTTGGATGTGAGGCTCTTTATAAACTTGTTAATATGTTTTAATTATTAAGATATAATATCTAACAACTGTTTCTGCTTAGGCTTGGAGTGTGCCCGAGGTTCTAAGGCCCCTGTATGAGTCTCCAAGAATTTTAGCTCAAAAGCTAACCATTGCTGTAGGCTTCTATACTCATTACCTTATCTTTAAATCCTTTGTTGCGTGAATGTTTAATTCAGTTCTTTTGTTTCAGGCACTTCGTCATATTAGGCAGATTTCCCAGGAGAGTAATAGTGAAATTTCCTATGCTGGAGGGCGTCAACCCACTGTGCTAAGGACTTTCAGCCAGAGGATGAATAGGTGTGCTTTTCAACCATTTTGTTCAATGCCCACATTTGCTTATATGTTATTCAAACACATTATAATATATTTGCAGGGGGTTCAATGATGCTATAAATGGGTTTCCTGATGATGGTTGGTCTTTAATGGGAAGTGATGGTGTGGAGGATGTGACAATTGCCATCAACTCATATCCTAATAAGCTTTGCGGTCATTCAGGCTCGTCAATGTTTTCTTCACTAGGAGGTGGTATCTTATGTGCTAAAGCATCCATGCTGCTTCAGGTTATGTATCGAAACGAAATTAATTGTTGCCTATTGGTTTGTTATCTTTTATAAGTTGAGGCGTTTGGTGTATATCTGAGCTTGTGCTTCCTGTGCTACAGAATGTGCCACCAGCTTTACTAGTTCAGTTTCTGAGGGAGCATCGATCGGAGTGGGCCGATTCAAGTGTTGATGTTTATTCAGCTGCGTCACTGAGAGCCAGTCCTTATGCAGTTCCTTGTTTGAGGGTCGGCAGTGCTTTTCTGGGTAGCCATGTTATTATTCCTCTTGCTCATACTGTGGAAAATGAAGAGGTGAGTTTGTTTATCATGTTTTATTTCTTTTTTCTATAATTTTTCTTAAGACCATGGTGCTCGGGCATCACTTTCATATCATGTTTCATCTGCAGGTCCTAGAAGTTGTTAGGCTGGAAAGTCCTGGTTTTACCCAGGAAGATGTTCTTTCTAGGGACATGTATTTGTTGCAGGTTGGATATTTTTGATACCAGGCATCTAATTGTTTTCTTTTTATTCCTTAACCTAATGTGACATGAATTATTCAACTATGTTTGAAGCTATGTAGTGGTATTGATGAGAATGCAGTTGGTGCCTGTGCACAACTTGTTTTTGCTCCTATAGATGAATCCTTCGCAGATGATGCTTTCCTCCTTCCTTCAGGCTTTCGGGTGATACCACTAGATGCTAAAACTGTAAGTAACTTGCATTTATATTTATAAACCGTTGAAAGGTGGCACTTCTATTTGTATAATTTAAGTTTATCATCATCACCTCAATAATTTGTTTTCCAAAGAAATTTCTCTTTAAATGTGCTGTTTGGTTCATCATTTGTGATGCATTGGTTGTTCTGCAGAACCCGCCATCTACTACACGAACACTAGACCTTGCTTCTGCTTTAGAAGTTGGAGGTGGCGGAACTGGAAGAGTTGCCAATGATTCAGGATTGAACTCGGGAAACTCAAGGTCGGTTCTTACAATCGCATTCCAATTCACATTCGAGAACCACCTCCGTGAAAATGTCACAGCAATGGCTCGACAATATGTTCGAAGTGTTGTGGCCTCGGTGCAGCGGGTTGCCATGGCAATTTCTCCTTCACGAAACCAATTAGGAATGAGGCATACACCTGGCTCCCCTGAAGCTCACACACTATCACTATGGATTTCTAGAAGTTACAGGTATATATATCATGAGCTCCATACATTAGAGTGAAAGGGATTTGTCAAACTAACTTTGATGCTTCTGATTGACATTGGTGTATAGGTTCCATACTGGAATTGAACTCATAAGAACTGATTCTCAAGCTGGCGAGACTCTGAAGCTTCTGTGGCATTATTCTGATGCAATAATGTGCTGTTCTCTCAAGGTCGTGGCTTTCTATTAAAAAATTTGCCTGATTTTACTTCCATGTCATTGAGCTCATCTTCCTGACCAACAAGGAATCTTTTAAACCGTTTGCAGTCTTCTCCATTGTTCACCTTTGCCAACCAAGCTGGACTTGACTTGCTGGAAACCACTCTCGTAGCTCTCCAAGACATTTCACTGGAGAAGATACTTGATGACAGTGGCCGAAAGGTGCTCTGCTCTGAGTTCCCTAAGATTATGCAGCAGGTCATCTTCCAGCCACTGAAAACTATCTATCATTCAGTTAGTCTTCATGATCTATGTTACCTTCTTTGTTCTTGTTGCAGGGGTTTGCCTATCTTCCGGCTGGCATCTGCATGTCAAGCTTGGGCAGGCCGGTGTCCTACGAGCAGGCCATTGCATGGAAGGTCTTAAATGAAGATGACTGTCCCCATTGTCTGGCTTTCATGTTTGTGAACTGGTCTTTTGTTTGAAGGTCATCGAGTGCCAGAGCTTTTTATAAGTTATTATATTTAGTTGTAAGAACATGGAACCTCAGCTTTTGCTGCTTTTATCTATCGTCTTTTTAGTACTTAGTGGTGCCTTTAACGGCTCTTTTGGCTGTCTGCTAGATTTGGGACTTATTTTGTATTTTGGCTTGGATTTTTGCTTATAAATTAACACGAACCAAGTTCTAGCACAGTGGAAGATTCTTTTGTGAAGTTGTAATGTCAGCAAGCATGGTATGTCTTTTAAACAAAATGATGCTTTTTTATTCAGGTTTATTATGATATTTTTTTGTTTTCTAGTATCTTTGTAAATAACTGGAGAAGGCATCTTGAAGGGCAAATATTTGGGCCAAGTTAATGAAACAAGGGTGATCTTAGAAGTCCCTTCATCATTTTGAGCATTCCTATGAAGATGGCTATTAAAGGTAGATTATTATTGAGAATGAATGTCCTTTATCATCTAGATTCAAGTATAGTAAAAAAGGTTTTAGGGATGGCACATTTTTGTAAGAAAATTCTTATATTTGACTTGTTATAATGAATGATAAAACAAATTATGATATGATCACTTCATTTAGACCTTTTGTAAAATAGGAGATATGTTATTTGATTTTGGTACATGTTGGAAAAATTGATGTTGGGGTATGGTTTCATTAATTGTGTCCATATTATGAAAACTAAATAAAATATTTTTAATGATTTGATTCAAAATTTAATAGTTTTTTTTTTTGGCTTTTAAAGGGTCAATTTGTGGTTATTATAGCTTTTTAAGAAGACGATTGTAAATGTGATGGAGAAAATAATTTCTTATAAAGTTGTTATGGGAGTTATATATATATATATATATTAAAAAGGAAATATATTTGGCAAGAGACTATATATAGACACACATACATAAATACATATATGAAATTGATATGCCACCAACAAATTTTTGTCACCAACAAATTTTCATCATTCGACATGAATCTCAAGGCATGACACGAATCTCGGGATAATATTTAAGTATCATTCGACATGAATCTCAAGGCATGACACGAATTTCGGGATAATATTTTAAGTATGAAACATTCAAACCTTGATAAAAAGTCATCCAGGACTTTGATTTCAACAAAATTATAGTCAAATTGATTGACTTGATGAGACGGGCCTAATATGAAAACTAGCTCAATTCGAGTTAAATTAAGCCTAGATCAAGTCATTGAACCACACTTAGATGATTTTCGGATACATTTGGAAGATCAAAGGGTTGTCGAATATGACAAGTTTACATTCGAATCAAGCGGCTCGACAAAACGACTCCAAAGAGCTTAAGATCACTCAATTCTGACATCATTAAGGCACTCAAATGTCCAGTAAACGTCGTATTATCAAGAGAAGCTCTCCGGATTGTCCGATCAAAATGATTCATATTCCTGCATTAATTGCAATCAGAATTCCATAAATAGAGCATCATCTCTCTCATGAGTGGGGCTGAAGTCTGGAGAAGGAGCATGAGACCTTGAGGAGAAGTTGCAGTTAAGCATCACCGTCGATCGTCGCCGAACACCGCCGACCGCCATCGTCGGCCACAGCCGATCGCAGTAGACCATTGCCGACCGCTATAGACCATCGTCGATCGTCGTTGACCTCCATCAACCTTCATCGATCACCACCAACCACACGCTGTCAGTCAACATTGTAATCTGAAAAAAATAGTTACAATTTCCGTCTTTGGGATAAAAGGATTTTTGTAATCATCGATCAATAGTGAATTTTCGTAACTGGGTCACACCTCATGGTTTTTTCTTTTATGGGTTTTTCACGTAAAAATTTCTAAAACAGTCATTATTTTTTCTTTTTCATTTAAATGTGTGTAGAATTTTCATACAAAATTAAGAAGATGTCAGTCAACATTGTAATCTGAAAAAAATAGTTACCCTTTCCGTCTTTGGGATAAAGGATTTCTGTAATCATCGATCAATAGTGGATTTTCGCAACTGGATCACACCCCGTGGTTTTTTCTTTTATGTGTTTTTCACGTAAAAACTTCTGAAGCAGTCATTATTTTTTCTTTTTCATTTGAATGTGTGTAGAATTCTCATACAAAATTAAGACGAAAATCTTTTACCCTACCGCCGTGAGTTGTTTTATGGCACTTTATAAGCTGCCTTAATTAGCCCTACAAGGAGAACTAAATGAACTCTGGCGGCCGGGGGGCCTATTAAGTGAATCGCATCAGTTCTCTCCTGACACCGATTAAATATACAGGTGGGGGCCTACCCCACACCCAGTGACGTGATAGCCGTTGGTTTTTGCCTGTCACTTTAGTCATCAGTCAAATCTCGTCTCTACCAACGCGACGCATTTCACATGATTCGTGCTTCCCTGATGAACGGCTGCGATTCTCTTGGCGCCCGATGGGCGGGAATCATTCGGTACGGTCGAATCTGAGCCGTTTGATCCGACCACGAAGCTTCAAAAGTCGCATCATGCCCAAAATACCCACGGGAGACTTCCGGTCCCACCATATCGGCCTGGTTATATTTTCTGGTCCCTTCGCGCGGTCCGAGACGACAGTATCGGGTGGCGTGTAAAAGATGCCTCATTTATGTTTATCTTCATAAATCTCCATTCTGTCGCTTCTGTCTGCATTTGCTGCCTACACCCCGTTGAAGCTTTTTCTGTTTCTTTCTGTTAGGAGAAAAGGCAAGGGATTAATTGCTGTAAATGCGACTCAAATAAATTTATATTTGAAATGTAAATTAAATTTTTATTTTAATCATGACACATTTAAATATGACAATTTTATATTTTAATCATGACACAAATTTATAATTATCTCTTTTTTTAATAAAAGTTAATATTACTATATATATTATTATTTTTTCTTATAAAATTTATTATAAATGGAGACTATTTCGACATATTATTGTATAATTGGGAGTCTGAAGGGATGGCGACGAGAAGGATAGGCCCTGCCTGGGGGGTTGGTAACAGCAGGAACAAGATCGAAAGACTAGTGCAGTTGTTGGAAGCGCGAAATGCAGTATGAAGAGGGCTCGAAAGGCATGTGCGGTGGCTGGCAGGAGTCTGAAGGGCTAGATGGAAGTGGAATACATGAAGGTTGGGGCATAGGGAGATGACAACAAACAGGTTCAGGGAAATATGGAAGGATTACTATCCTTCCTAGATCGAGTTACAGTTGAAACACCACCACATCAGATGAGTTACATCTCCTCACCTTTAGAGATTGCCGTAGAAGGAAAAACAACAGCCAATGACAAGCTAGATAGAAATCTGAAATCAGGAAGACACAACAGAAAATTATGGTAATGGGAGGAATTACCTCAATGGAGAATGGAACAACACCGAGAGTTCTCCTTCATCTCATCTCTTAAAATAGAGAGAGATGGGTCAGGGGAGGACAAAATTTATTTAAACATTGTAACACCCAAAGCCAGTAGATTGGGAACATTGAATTCAACCTTGTAAACTCTAGCCTCATTGATTGAGAAGGGTTGAATATCACCGGGGATGGAAAACTTCTCTCCCTTAACTATGTACTTAATCCACTAATATAAAGGTACAATCTCGTAAGTGTGAATCCACAGAAAATCCAGCAATGCCCTAAAAGAACTCTCGTTGTCAATTGCATAGAATTTGGCATTTGTCCTCAACTCTCCAAGCCGAGGAGAAAGAAAAATAGAGCCAATGGTGGCCTGAGCATTCTTATTGAAACTTTAAAGTATGAGTTGATCAAGACCTAAATGTCTTCAGTTGAGATAAAGTAGCTCAAAATTGTTGGTGTTGATTATATTCACTAACACACCTGGACCCACTAACATATGGTTAATAAGTTTCTACGCACTGGGGTCCTCATGTATAAAGAGAAACTATGATTAATATTTCCTAACAAGAGGCCAATGTGAGAGAAGAAAATGTTAAACTCATCCTGAAAGGGGCTTAGCCCTCTCTTTCATGAAATAGACTAGAAAGACCTCGGGCTCTAATAGAGACCACACAATTGTATCTCAAAACTCAAAAGAAAATCATCACCACTTCATAAACACTCAATAGTGTCGGTAGCTTCTTAGAGTGAACAAGAACAATATGGTTTAATTCAATAAAATTGGCCATGGTTCTTAACCTGAGTGTCGATTATAGAGGCATTATCAACATCATGAGTAATGATATCTTTCTCTTATTATGAATAGTTGGTTTTCATGCTCTATGCAGAAGCTTCATATCACTCTACAATTAGATCCACTATATATCCTTAATAGAAGACATAAAGGAACCATACTAATCATAAGACTCATCAACATGATCAAAAAGTTGAGGTTCAATCTAATATGAGCGATCCTCAAATGGATCATCATCATGAATATCATCTCAATATAATTTATGGAGATTACTTGAGTCAACAAAAATATCATCCTTTGAGTCCAGCTCGATCATCACCATGGAATACCTGAGATAATGTTGAGATGAGAACACATTTTGAATGAGAAAGTTGGTCGTGTAGGTAGTTGTTGCAACCTTACTGGACCCTCTCACCCTCCTCCTAAATGGGATAACAAGATGGGAGTGATACAAGAGTTCCTGCATCTTTTGTCAAAAATTTGATCAATGTAAGTAAGAACACACTACCATTGACCTTGCTCTTCACTTTGAGCAACTTCATCATTAGATTATTCTGCTATGTGAAAAATCACACAGAAACAACATTCATATAGACTACAGACCTAACAGTGTCTGTGTCACATACAAAATAAGTAGATCATCTAGTGATCTGTGTGACAAATGGTCAAAACTAGGAATTCGTTAAGGTTTACAAATATTGATGCCACCTCTTGAATAGATGCCGATACAAGGGTCTCTTGGAACGACTACTTCTGAGCTCACAACAACCTATTCCTCATCTTTTTTAGTTCTCTCACTCGATTTAGGGGTAGAAAAAATATTAGTTGGCCTAGAAAAGAAATCATTGAGTCAAAAACATACACATTCACGGGAGCATTAGTGATCTCAGATGCCATTAAAGCAATGCTCATAGAGGGCAACCTAGCAAAACATTATAGATTACAAAATAATAGAGGCATCCTTGACAGTCTGCTAAAATAAATAAGGATGTTGTGACATCTCATCATCAATTTCCAGCCTCTTCCTTGAAGAAAAATTTGTCACAACTCAAGTGACCATATAAGGCAGCAAGGCGAGTGACTTTTAATCATCTAAGGAGGGCATAATGCTAAAGGCTTGATGAGAATATGATTCTCAATAATAATTTGTGTCAATTGGTGGACACAAGAAAATGTGTTCATGCACTTATCTACATGGAAAATAATAGAAGACAGGAATGGACTCAATGATAATCACTTTTTGAGTAGTCATTTCTTTTCAGAAAAAAGGGACTACATATAAGTATGACGGTATCAAGTAGCATGAAGCATATAATTGAAGCATAGTGGATATAAGTACAAAAGGA